TGTCGTGTTGATAATGTTCTTAATAGTAAATGTAGTCTCTTTCGGCGTTTACATAAGGAAGGGTGGTTGGTACTGAACAATCAAGTAAACTTTTATGAAAACATGCTCTTTCTCTTTGTAGTACATTTCGTACTAGATTCGTATTTACGATCATGACTTCGTCGGTGTTTCAAGTCATAAGTGTTAGATACACACTTCGATGTTTTAGTAGTAAATATAATTGTTTTACCACGTGCGAAATATTGAATTGAATTCGCTAACCATTGTAAATAGGTTTAGAATTATGGGCGTTCAATAATGAGACGATGGACTAGAATCTTGAACTTGTTTTTGATAGAGAACTTCCGAGAGGGATGCCTTTTTAATAGATTACACAAACAAAAGCCCCCCCACCAGACCTTTATATAAAACCTATTAATGAGAAAGTTCTCTAACTGCAATATCGAAGGGCAAAACCTGTTGTCAATGATACACAACTACAGATACAGTTCTTTCTTCGAACAGCGATAAAATAATTAACGACCTCACAAGTCTTCATTGGCCCATACAGTTAATCTGCCCCGTTGCACATTGCATATAATTTTCATCGTCATATATATTACTTGCCGGTGAATCACAGTAATTAATACGTACCACAATCCGCAAATCGTACCAAGCTTATAAATACATAGAGTTAGGCCATATTTGTAGAAATTCCAAGCAACAAGTGCTTCTTATCGAATATTGAATTCGTATATCAAAACAACTACAGATAAAAATGATGTAGTTTAATGTTTATTTCGTTGGCAATGCTAAAGAGGTATATGAGCAATCGAAATCTAATAGTTATAAAACAGTGGCCAAGTATTTCCCATTCTAAGGGGAGGGAAGATTTACTTAAACATGTCGGTAACGGAACACGCTCTTTAATATCACCACGAAAGCCACCACGCTCTTTAAGGTTAAATATATGGTCACCAATATTTTGCTGCCGATAGTTTTATCTATATATATATTTTATATATATATATATATATATATATATGACAATGGTTTTCGCTTATTTAGAAGATAGCGCAGACCCCATAAGAATCGATCGTGCTCCAGCAAAAAGGAAGCTACAAGCAGGGCCGTGAAAGTCTGACAGCAACGCCGTAAGCGAAATAGGGCGGCGCTTGGTGGAGGCCATTCAGTGTGTGAAGGTAGCTAAGTGAAAGTGAAGACAAAAGCATCAGATAATCGATAAATGCCCAATAAGCGCTAAATAATACGGAGAATTAGGAGGTACGTAAGCGAAGCGATGGTTTGGCCCAACTATCAGCCGGTAGAGACCCAATACGTCGTAGATATTCATAATAAACTCTGGGGCTGTGTTCCAAAGAAAGAACTAGAGTACCTTAAAGAAAGGATTTGGAAAAAACATTCGCAATTTTGATTCAGGGCAAGTAAGCATCGTCTGATGAAGTGAGGCTAAGGAGCTTTTATGGCAAGTCCTTTTACCGAACACACGTCGGACGCTAAAGTTGATGTTTTTTAAGAATGCACGGGATAAATCATATGCAGAGCTACTTATACAGTCCAAAATAACAGTACCTGCCTAGATGCCGGGTACATAGGCACAATGCCGTTTAGAAGGATTGTCGGATGTCACCGTAACTCCAGCCAGGATTCCAGCCTGGCGGTTTCCTAGTGCAAGGTGGACGTGTGTATTACAAAGAAACAGAACGTTCATCTATGTAGTATTTTCGCAATGGCGATGATGACGATAGTGATAAAAAATAATTGAAGGGAAATTGAAAAGTGCGGTAGCGAAGGGTTGCTTGTCACTCAGTTGTCATGTCGGAGCATAGGGGCAACATCCAACTACTTCATAGGGCGAATCGTTGTTCCCAAGAATGTACGAAGCTCGTCGAAACGCATCTCAGGCTATTCACGATATTGTCGCGATATTATGCTAGGGGAGGCCGACTGCAGCTTCAGCAACTACGACTCAGAAGTTCAACAAAACGCGCCTTGAACGCTGATGGAAACAGCCACCAACCATTACGGTACGGTAATCATTGATTCTACAACAAGTTGAGCCTTTAAAACTATATGCAGTAAAGCGGTGAGCAGAATGCAAAAGTCTGCGGAAGAGGCATCGCGAATCACTAGGAATCGTGCAGCACATGTACCGCACAATAGCCGATGTTCCAATCAGTACGTGTGAGCAGTTATTCCGGCAGAGTGGTGACTGAGTAAAAAGGAGCAATTAATTTCCTCGATAATTGTTCGTCTTATTAGCAAACCGATGAAGACCAAGATAAAGATGAAGTCAAACCGGAACATTAATCTTTCTCTTTTAAGGTGTTTTGGGGCTTTTAATTTCGGTAGGGGGAAGATAGATATTTCGACCTTAAAAGGTGCTAAAAAAGAATTGGTGGGCGTTCCTCCGCCACATAAATTTCACGATGTCGTTTGCCATAGCGAGTTTAATGGTTTATTATGGCAGGTATGATTTTTCCTTCCTGTTGCTGTGTGCATTGTATCATTAGTAGAGATGAGGTAGAATCGTAGTTGTGGATCTAATTTGCGTCTACAAATGAAAAGCTCGCGATCGATTACTAACACCCGCATTTACTTATTATATTTTATTCATTTATTCACTGATACGCAAATACAGTGCCTCTAGACAGATGCTTTGCATTTCATGTACGAGTGAAGCCGTTCATTTTTTCTTACCCTTAGATTGTTCGGCGAAACTGCAAAGGCAACGTGTCCTTTTTTTGTTTTTTAACCGTTTGATTCCTCAGCTTAACCGTTTTAAATTCAGTTTGTCCTTGTTTTCGATTCTTTAAGAGAAAACAAGAGGTCAATATGTATTTTCCTTTATGCGAACTGTAAATGAGGTCTATGTGTTATATTTTTGTCCGTTTTCTTTGGCAGTAGTAGATTACGGGTTTTTCAGTACGGAGATCACGAAGATGTCTCATGAGGGACAACTAGATCATCGGTGTGTCATTAATAATAGATGAGGACCAGTTCTAATTGGATCACGAGTGTCTCACTAGTGTTAAGTTCACTAAGTTTCGATAAACGATTACTACATTTTTATTATTGATTACGGTTTTTTCGGATACCTTTTGGCGATACGGCATTGATTATTACTGGTTGCAGATTACTCATGAGTGGATCACGAGTTAACTAAGTGTTATCTTTAAATATTGAATTCAAGTTGACTCAAGTATCTTAAAAATTAACAACGTTGCGTGTCATAGGTCCTTTTGCAGATTCTCAGGCTGCGGCTGAGAATCTCTGCCTTATAAATTGTCGAAGATAGTTGATGTACCGATGCGTTCTTGGTGGAGTGGAGAGAAAGTATGCCTAATGCTAAGCACAGATCATAATTGGAAAAGCAATCAAAACCCATTCGGGAAGAATGTCCGGGAGCTGTTTTAGGGAAAGTCGTTTGTCGGTTAGTGGTTCTCGAACGTGTAGTTGTGAAGCGTGTGTGTAGCTCTTACTGATACGAGTTCCCAACGATCAAAATCAATGAAGTACCATCTGGATTAAGCACTCCTACGAATATTCCCTCGAGACTACTGCAGCGCAAGAAACCTCAGTGCTGTGAATGGACGAATAGATCCACAAAGTCTTACTCGAAGGAATTCTCGTGTCTCCGCGCGAACTGCAGGTTCGCCGATACTATGATGCTCTCCGTTGCGGTAAAAGATTAATAGTCTTAGTAAGGTTAGATTTTTCGTATTCTAGATGAAAAAAGTTCGCTGTTGACTACGAGAAATTGTTGCAACTACTTTGTTTTTCGCGATTCGGTATTACATTGTATTTGGGAAAAGCCAGGAGAGAAAACCATTTAGGCTTCTTCTGTATTATGTTTTCTGTTAGAATAGATTAGGGCAAGGATTGCTCGCTTGTCGTTAAGCGATGCATGCATAATGTGTATTTACGTGTAGGCTTAATACGGTGCGAGATTTAACATAGGTAACAACATAGGCCAGTGGTGGAATTCATCCAAAATAGAAGTAAGATATATAAACAAGGTACTGAAGAGACTCTAGCTTGATGGCAACTTGAAGCCAATGACAGCCCCCGTTCGAAGACGGTCGGCGAGCTTAGGGAACAACTCTTCTGGGATCTGTGAGACGTATCTTTACAACCTTTCTACGCTAGTCGTTCAGTGTTTACTGTGGTGTTATGCAGGGCGCATGGCATTGATGTAAGTTTGAAATTGCTTCTCCCAGAAGTGAAAGGAAGGGGAAATGGGGGGAATTTAACAGATCGAGGTTTGCGTAACCAGTGATATGCTATGTATTAAAAAAGTTTGAAGAGCCTTTGTGTTGGCAGTTGTTGTTGCTTTTATGTAAGCAACAAAAGCAGAATACAGCTATCAAATAGTGCCCCCGGGCGGAATTTGAAATCTTCTACCTACGCTTGAAAGTGCATGTGGTTAAATTGGAAGCTTAAAAGACAAATGCGCTTTGACTAATCGTATCAGCGGTCTATCAGTATGTGCTTGAGTCAAGGCGCTTTACATTTTCAGTAACTCTTCTTTGCTGGTAGAATAGGCGTTGAACGTTCGTAAGACTTTCTGAGCGTCTTATCTGTGGGACCTTGAGGATGAGCGAAATACGACAGAAACGGTCCGGCATAAATATGCAGCAAGATTTGTAAAGTGGAAGATTTATTTATTTTGTTAAGGACGTGAGATGGATGTTAAACAGTTCCATAAAGTATAGCACAATTATTTTTAAATTTTATTCGACATGTGCCTAGTATACTTTATTATTAGGACGCTACTGCAGCTGAGAAGTGAAATAAATCGTAAATTTATGGTAGAGCGTAGAAATACCTAACCACTATTTTGTGAACAGATTCTGGACAATCCTTCTATAGTAATATTTCGACATAGTCAGCCAGCATTGGACACAATTAATAATAGTAAAATGTACATGCACTCGCGGTCTACAAATGCCATATGAATAAATAAGGGTCCGTATTCTGATCCGATTGTTTTATTTCAGTGGGTCCGCTTGGTCTTTGCCATCGGCCAGAATGTAGCAACGCTGCCCGCGTGAAATGCGTCTCCTGTGGACAAGTGGCCTATTGTAGTTCAAAATGTCTTCGTACGGACGCCGCCCGGCACCGCGCCAATTGCTATCGTGAGTACTTGTATGAATATTAAAACAGTTCAGTTCCTAAGATTCTAATTTATCTAGCATGCGAGGCAACATACGAAGGACTGTCCAATATGAGAGATGGATCTGTTAGAAAAAGGTATGGTGTACGCACTGAAAAATGTGCAATCACATTTAGGAACTGCTTTAAGTTGAAGGGAGTAGTACAAAGTAAAAGAAATATTAGCTGACGCTGTTCAATACATCTACATCAACTTCTCACAAATCCTATTAGAATAATCTCTCTAATTTTTGGAAACTAACTTCAGGTCGTTGCACGCCCTCATTTGATAGAAACGCCTTGTCTGCGATATTTTCCTAGAGCCTGCAATGTCTGAAGTTCACTTAAAACGGACAAGTCACCCATTCATGGAATGTACAAACTACCCGTTTACGAAGAAAGTGCAATAACACTTTGTAAGACATATGAACAGATACGGAGCTAAACAGAACGTCAATTGAAATTCATCAACAGCTTTTCGATCTTTCATGTAAGAGTTCGCACAGCAACAAAGCTAAGTAGGCCCAGGACAAGGAAGTTATACTTGCAGCGTTGTCCATGGTTATGCAATGGTTCATCGTGCTCTGGCCGGCAGATCATAGATTAACCCGTAAATATCCATGCTTTGTTTGCCTCGAGCGATATTTGTGAGCCACGACCATGAGTGAACGACAGTAACCAATAGGCCTTCGATTTTCAGTAGCAACGGATTTCATATTCGCGCCTCATATACGTTTGCTCACGCGTTGTATGGCGCCAGATTTTTACACATAAACGGTCCCCAGCGTGGCCTAATCGAGGGTAGCAACATTTAGTACTACATAACGACGGACCTATTCTAGGAACGACGTAAAGCAGCGTTGTTGTTGCAGACGAAACATGCATGCACAGTTGTTCATAAGGTAATATTCGTGCGCGTCGTAAGTTGCAGAATGAAATTTATAGAGTACCAAGTAGAAAGCAATGAAACGACGCAATTTTTTTTAGTTATCTAATAAACATACGTAAACGTGGCTGGGCACCAAACGCGTTAAACATCTCGTAACTCCTCTTGTCTTTTAGCCTACATCATGTTATTACGTAATGAACTTTTCCCCCAAAGCCATCGCGCTTTACTGTGATCCTTACCTCTAAATGCCAACACCTTTACACCGAGAATATTTCGAAGAAATGGCCTTGGCTGATAGCGGGAGCTTTCTAGCCAACCTTATGAAATCTATTCTCAATTCAAAGTCACCTTATATCTTCGGTTTTAGCAAGGATCTACCAAGTGCGAAGGTTGACGAGAAGTCGGTATAGTTTGTTAGATATTAACGAGAATTTGTAGACATGGAGCTAACTGAATTCATACAAGCTGGAAGAAAGGACTTAGCTTTAAAGGAAGAGGCCACCGGTAGCCTTTAGCTGTTAAATAGCCAACATATACAACAAAAAATAGCCCGATATGTCATACTGAGTTTATAGGGATTACTTTTCGGGCCAAATGAACCCGCAGACAACGCGTAATACAAGAGTTAAAGAGACCACTTATAGGCAGGCCATTTGGCTTTTGGTTAGGTTAGGTTAGGTTAGGTTAGGTTACTTTTTTATTGATTACCACTCAATGACTGAATCATGATTTTATGAAGCGTGTATAGAAAGCTAGAGCAATACTTTCATGTAGATTTAATTAAGGTCAATTCAGTACACTTCTCGTCGCTAATGATTAATTAAAAATCAAACCAAGATTTTCTAAAGCTATTGAATGAGAAATGCACTCTAACTTAATCATATGTAGCCACTATTGGACGAAGCTCTTCACCAATGGCTACGGTAGCCGGACACAGCGAGTTGGCCAGCATAGGTGACGCACTATATACACTTATCTTGGAAACACGACCATCCATACAAGTAGTTTTATGAAAAAAATAAATAAATAAATAAATAATCAAAGACTAGCTATCTGTGCAAAGATAAGGCTATGCTGGACGTAGAGCTTCGTCATGTCATCATTGAATTCTGACGAAGAAAGATCCTTCGCAACAGAGTAAATTGGTGCACACCGGCCCGGACCTGCTGAGCATGCAACACTATATCTATCATGATCACGCCACGTGGTCATCATGCTTTAGCAAAAGATACGGCTTGTATCAGTAATTGTATTGGTATTAGTATGCTAACTTCTAGTTAGCATACGAATATACCCACATTAAACAGTAGAATGACGGCATTTATCGGTTTACTTACTTGACTGCAGTATAAAAGGTCGTTGCTTGATGCTTCGACGTTTGAAAATTAAAGTTATTAAAAATAAAATTAAATAACATCAAGGCGTTCATATCATCTGTGTACTGTGGATACGTCTCTAGATCCGATGTTACCAACCATAGGCTATAATTAATCTCTATGGATAATTAGTCATGGACAAGCTTTTTGAAGGCAAATAACCCGGTCAAAAGGTACTGCCCCTTGCGTAGTGGATTCTGTGCAGCGTGTTATTAAAGTCCACATCAACGAATTAAGTCCAGGTAGCGTCCATGCTATTGAGTATTGCTTGTATTAAGTAGTCCCAAACAGAAGCCGGCTTCTGTTACGTCTTTTGTTTTCATGCCTTCAAACAAACTTCATTTAGCTCAAAGGCCACTTCGATTCGAAGCAATTGACGCTAACGAAGTATATTTATCTGTGCATCAAGCAACAGGCCCAGAGTATAACTGCGAAATGCCATGTCCAAAAAAACCGTTTGACATGTGGTAGGATTTTAATAAGCCAAAGATAATCGAAATGATGTCATGATACAATTTTCAGGAAATGCCTTGTTGTAAAAAAGGTGGGCCCCATTATGTGTATGTAAGCTAGCGTTGATCATACTTCTATAGACGTTCCACACAGAACTTTACTGGCAGTCCGTCACGTATTATTAAGTAGAGGAGCAATTTATGACATCTGAAATGATGCTGGAAAATAGGAGTGCAAGTAAATGTTTCGAATTGCAAGCTTGATGTTGAGAGAAATGGCTGGCTTCAGTACGAAATAAGGTGTGTATACGAGTGGCTTCGAATCTGTGTCCCTAAGATTCTAGCTTTAGTATACTGGACCCTTTATATTACCATTACTGGGACTCGTACACAAATAGAAGTCAGGACAGCTGAATAGGTAGGCGCTTGCAAAATACACCGGCAAGTTTTAGATGCTATAGCCATAGAAATGCCATTCCATGGATATGCCACATAAGACTAACCATTACTACCGTCGTAGACGAAAAATGAAATAAGGACACAAGGTAAAAGCAATAAAAAATAATGTCTGCGAACGTTGTGTCGTCAGAGCTTGCATATAACAACCTCGCTAGCAATTATTTTTTAACTTTGTTTTTACGCTATTGATCGATTTAATCACAAACATTTTTTAACTGGAGAGAAGTAGGCCTTAATCGACGAAGCTCCGCTAAAAAGGCGCCTAGATGCAATAGGTTGATTGAAAGACAACGTCTTTAATATTAAACAGAGTACAGAGAGTGCTGAATCCAGATAGACAATAATTCAATTGTTCAATCACTATCTCTTTACTTTGTCATGGTCAGGAAGGCATACCACTGCTAGTGAGACCTCACCTGCGACAGAGATAACGCGGTTTACACATGTATCCGACTCTTCCTTCGTCATTCCATCAATTATAGGTAACACATCTTTTCGATCACATCACATCGAAAAGGAGATATTCCTCAAGTATAATCGTTGCTACATGTTGTAAGCTAATTATCATTCCGTAACAGTTCTAGCGATTCTCGAGTGGATCCTGACATTACACTCGGTAGACTTATATTTCGATCGAAACTTCACGATTAAACACAGTTAAAAGTACCTAGAAGATTCCACTTTGAAGCGCACTACCGTCGCCAAGCTTAGAGAACCACTGAACACCTTTTTTGGTCTTGTGTACTTTGTACGCATTATGAGCACATGAATATCCGTTTAAAAACTTCTATGTTCAGCGATTTAAAAAGATAAAAATTAGGTTAGCGATTAAAGTAGGAAAACGTAGATATTCCTTTATTTACAACCCAAACGGATTTTACTTGATAGACTGGCAGTCCTAGACGTCTTCTTCAACGTAAGATTGAAGAACAACGAAACGACAAATTCTCTCCTGTTTCATAGTTTTTGAACATACATCATAATATAATAGATTCTGTATAGGATTAGCCAATCATAATAGAGTCGCTTGTCACTTTCGGTAGCTCTCTAGAAATCAAGTCAGTAAAGTATGAACTCTGTAAAAAAAAAAATAAAGAATTCGCGAAAAATATAGTTGGTGACCGTACAAAATAGAAGTTTTTCCCGATCAATCGAGTAGCTAGTGGGTAAGGACGACGGAAGAAACTTCGACCTTTTGTTGTGGTAGGACGGCGTAATAGAGCGAAGAACCGGCAAAAAAAGGGTCGAAGGCACATCGCAGGCGATCTCCCAACGCATGTGAGATGCCAATTATTTATAGCCCTCCGAGGAGCAACGCGGGATAGGGAGAGAGATCGGAATATGGAAGCCGATGGAAGAACGGAAACGGAAGGGGTGGGTGATACACTAGGATCTGTTTGATTTGTATACGAATGAAATTTACTGACACAAGTAACGGAGTAGACCGAAATTACGACGCTTTGGAACGCCCAGTTGGAATGTTTTTTGGCCGCTGTGGAAGTAGCAGTGTGTGCATGTCACGACCGATCTTTGAGCGACAGCTATTACATTTTGGATGAAAAGTCACCCTATGATACGCGATAATATTTTGTAGTCGTTACAATCTGCGTCATTTTTCTTAGCGAATAATCCATACCACGCGGAGTCGCTTCCCGATGCTGTTTTCTATTTGATTCGTTCTTTCTATCCCTACGATCCGAATATATCAAGAGAATGAAAAATGACGTAAACGTTTTTATCGCTGTCGCAAAACCGTGATGACTCTTGCTTTGCCGTAAAGTGAAAACGGTCGGTATAGCGTTGAGAATGAAATCATCTGCTTTGTGGTCTTTTCAAGCGACAGGGTCCTTATCATGAATAACACACGTACCAACGAAAGTTTCGAAGGATGGCCCACCAGCGAACATAACAAACACCCGCAACAGGACTTCTATTCTGTGGTCCATTCTTGGTCATATTTTAATGCTGGTAGCCTGTCACTGGGTTTAGTAAAACGACAAGTAACCAAATCTTCAATTTTCAGTCACACTAAAATTCTTGCTAATAGTTATTCTATCGATGCTGAAAAATATTATAATAAGTGTCTGAATTTTGTAAAATACGTTCAAACTTATTCAGTTTTAGAATTAAAAACACGAATTCAACTATACCATACCTGCATCGTTATCTAGAGGCTGCTGTTACTCGACTCCAAAATTGTGGTTATGATGGCCCTACCGTGAAACTGTTTTGACAATATCTTCGGGAAGTTTAAGGTAAATGAAGCAGGACAGCTTTCTAAATTTTGTCCGGTATCGCTATAAAAATTTAGCAAAATTAGGCCTAGTTTAGTAAAGATATCGCGCACTT